TCCAAAAAAACAAAAAAAAAAAAAAAAAAAAAAAAACCCTGCTATATACCCCTCCCCACTCTCCATGGCCACCTCTTTCACTATTATTGCATGCATGCATATATGTAGCTGTAGTATATGTATATTCATTCCTAAATACAACCTGTTCAGTCTGTATAATGCTACTCCTAAGTATGTTTTCAGGGCTGATCGTCTGGCACTAGACAACCGTTTGGTGTCCTCTTCCCTGGGAGGATCATCTCCCCTGCTCCCAGAGTTGCTTAGTTGAGAGTAGTTCTTTGAGGCCTTGGGGGCTTTCCCTCCCACAGTTTGGCATGTGTCATCTTTGGTGTGTGTCATCTTTGTTCAGCTCGTATTTGGGCAGTCATGTTGGTGTAGCTTCTGGTGTTACTAGGAGACAGAGTCTCATAGCAAACTCTCTGCTCCTCTGGCTCCACGGTCTCCCCACCCCTCTTCAGCAATGTTCCCGGAGCCTTGGGTGTGGGAGTGAGTGTGTTGCTGATGTGTCGCTGGGGCTAGGCTCTCCAACTCCGCACTGTGGTCAGCTGTGGTTTTCTGTAGTGGTCTCTGTCGGTTGCAAAGAGAAGTTTCCTTGATGAGGAGTGAAGACTGCATTAACTCCACAGTAGATTTTGACCATGGATTTTATCAGTCACCTTCCGGTTTGACCTAGTTTCTCACCAGCCCAATGACTCACGGCAAGGAACATCTGCACGGAAGGCTGAGTGGACAAAGGGTCTCTGGTGTGACACTGCACTGCAGCTGCTCCCAGTGCTACTACGGCAAGCGGATATTTGATGGAGAGGCGGGCAAGATGGAGGAGCAAAGTGATTGTTCTTTTTAATTTTCATTTCTATCTTTTAAAAATTTGTCTTTTGAAGGGAGGCTACAAGGGAGGAGGGTGGACGGAAGGACGGAGAGATGAGTGGGATTGGCGTGTGTGATGTGAAACTCCCGAAGAATCCATAAAAATGAAAAGAAAGATGGTTCTTCATTCTTTTGCGGGAGGGCCAGGCTGGTCTTGAACTCACAGGGATCCACCTGCCTCTGCCTCCTGAGTGCTGAGATTAAAGGCGTGTGCACCAACTGGCCCCTTATACTTAAGAGCGGTAGAAACCTTGGATCTAAGCATTGTAACTATCTTGAATCTGAACGAAGATATTTTGAAGTTTCTTACATCACACGAAATACTGGGCAGCAGTTTCTCTTCTGTCACTCACAGAAGTTTTAGGCAGATGCAGGAGAACCGTGGTTGGGCTGCGTGTCATGTAAACACAAGAGCCACCCGGGTGAAAGCAGAAGCCCTGACCACATGGCCTTATTCTCTTCTCAACAGGCGCTGCTATGTGGGTTACTTGTGACATGTCCTGACGATCCACTGAGATATTTAGAGCAAATGATCAAAATTATCATTAAAAATGGTCTGGAAAACCTTCTTTGGTAAGTGTTGTTTTGGTGTATGCAAGGAAATATTCTGAAGGCCACGGACTTTGTATATCGTCATGACAAAGTCTTGCCGATCTGGGGCTTGTTAAAGAATCCGTCCGTGGGCTCTTTGGTCCCCAAGGGTTAATGTGAACAATATACTCCTGATTTTCTCAGTATGAGAATGCTGTCAGCTCCCATTGTGCTCCCAAGACCGAGAGTTTCACGGTGAGGATGGAGAGGAGGGTGAGGCCATTCTCGGGAGCTCAGTGAATTCTGGAGATTCTGACCTGCCTCCTCAGGGGAGGTAGCCTCCCCACCCCACACAAATACATGACAATCAGTGATTCAATGATAGAAGTACTTCAAAATGGAATTCATCTTGACCTTGCTTTGTAATTTTATTAAAGGGACATGTGCATTGATCCGGCACTGAAACCAAGACTTCGGAGACTCTCTGAAACATACTTGGAACAACTTTTTGGACTGGATGACCAACTGGTAATTGTTATTATTATTTTAAAATTTATTATGTATATAGTATTCTACCTGCATGTACGCCTGCAGGCCAGATCCCATTACAGATGGTTGTGGTTGCTGGGAATTGAACTCAGGACCTCTGCAAGAGTAGACGGTGCTCTTAACCACTGAGCCATCTCTCCAGCCCCCCAACTGGTAATTAGTCAAGCACTTTGAAACACATCTTAAGTTCTGACCGGAGTACCCGAACAGACTGTAGATTTTACTGGGGAATGATGGAGGTGGGTCTTGTATCTTATCTGTTGATTTCATTGGTTAATAATAAAGAAACTGCCTCGGCCCTCATAGGACAGAAAATTAGGTAGGCGGAGTAGACAGAGGAGAATGCTGGGAAAAAGAAGCTGAGTAGTGAGTGAGTCGCCATGATGCTCCCACTCCAGACAGACACAGGTTAAGATCCTCTCTGGTAAGCCAGCTCATGGGCTACACAGAATATTAGAAATGGGTTAGAACAATATGTAAGAGCTAGCCAATAAGAAACTGGACCTAGCCGGGCCAGGCAGTGTTTGAAAGAATACCGTAATCGTGTAATTATTTCTGGGCATAAGCTAGCCATGCGGGCGGCTGGGTGCCGGGGACGCAGCCCTGCCGCCGCTCCTATTTTAACAGATGGCGCCCAACGTGGGGCTCGAACCCACGACCCTGAGATTAAGAGTCTCATGCTCTACCCAGCCGCCGCTCCTATTTTAACAGGGGAGTGTGAGATCAGGATCTGTTTAGAACTGAGACCACGTAGGAAAGCGGGAGAATGGCACACATAGAGCCAGACACGTCCACGGGTCTTAGGAATGAGTTCTCCTGCTCTTCCTCCCACGGACAGAAATAGCATTGCGGAAGCAGGATTTACTAGCATACCCTGTAACACCAGCACTCAGGAGGCTGAGGCAGGAGGATGGGAGAGAGTGAAGGGCAACTGGGGTTACTTGGCGAGATCCTCTCAAAAAACGAAGCAAAAGCCTTGGAGAATTCTTTACAGCAAGGTGGTCTCCTTCCTTCCTTTGTGGTCCTCCCTCCAATGTCAGCTTGGCAGCCCTAGCAGATGAGGATACAGGGAATCAGGCTTGTGAAGCTAAGACCAGAATGCTAATGAGGTGGAACCTGGAAGCCAGACCTGGCTGTCTCTGAAAGGAGGAGCCTGCTCCAGCAGCTGGCACAAGGGGTAATACAGGAGATGGGGATTTCTAGAACAGTCTGTGTGTGTGTGTGTGTGTGTGTGTGTGTGTGTGTGCACAAAGGGTAATACAGGAGAGGGGGATTTCTAGAACAGTGTATGTGTGTGTGTGTGCTCAAGACTGTGGATGACACTGGCTCATGCTAGGGATGTGGCCTGCGTAAGCCCAAGCAAAGCTTGGGGGCTCTCAGTAAAGGTGGACATTGGAAATGGCAATCAGAGTCGTATTCAAAGTAGGTGCCTAAGTTAGAAATGAAAACATGAGTCTCAGGTGTCTGGGCTGCTTAGTTAGCGAGCTCAGCCCAGGCCGGATGCAGATTAATTCACACTCGGAGAAAACACTAAAAATAACGTTGAAGAATGAACCACCAATCCTTAGCCTGTTTGACATTTCAAATCATCGTATAGTAATATTAGCTTTATTTTAAAGCAGTTTCCATTCTTATAATTTTCTGTCTATTTAGTAAGGAGGTGTTCTAATCCTTTTCCAATAGTTCTACTGCCCGGTGACATTCAACTATGCGCCTATGCGGCCATTCTTATTCAGACCACCACGAGGAGCAAGCCAGTGAGCAGCACCCCTCTATGGCCTCTGCCTCCTCTGAGTTCCTGTCCTGACTTCCTTCGATGATGGGCTAAGATGTGGAAGTGTCAGCCAAACAATCCTTTCCTCCCCAGCTTGCTTTTGGTCACGGTGTTTCAACACAGCGATAGGAATCCCGACGGAGACTTTGTGGTGTAGGTTAGCGGCCACAGGTGCAGCACAGGAGTCTCAAGCGAGGCTGTCTACAGTCTACAGAGCTGAACAGCATATGTTACCTGTGGCGTCCGAGCTACCTCAGCCCCAGGACAGGCTCATGGGGACAGATTAGGTACCCTGGAGGTACTCTCCTAGATATTTTTGAACAACACGTCAACGTGTATTCAGTGTTCTGAGACTGGGCAGTAGCTGTCTTAGTTAGGGTTTCTATTGCTGTGAAGAGACACCATGATCATGGCAACATCTGTAAGTTCAGTGATCCAGTCCATTGTCGTCATGGTGGGGAGCATGGAGCTGTGTAGGCAGATGTGCTGTTGGAGCCGAGAGGCCTATGTCTTGACTCAGAGACAATAAGAAGTCTGCTGACTGTCACACTGAGGGAAGCTTGAGAAAAATGCCTCAAAGCCCATCCATCCCCCAGTGACACACTTCCTCCAACAAGGCCATACCTCCTACTCCCTTTGGGGGCTGTTTTCTTTTAAACCACCAAGTAGACATTTGAACCCGGGCACTGCCCTGTGCTGAGATCGTGAGAGGACTACTGATAAATAGAAAACCAACGGCTGCTAAGAAATCCAGGGTCGGCAAATGAACAAAACCAGACCAGGGAGGGGGAGGTTGAAGTGCTTCCCCTGCACAATGTCTCACACCAACAAACATCAAGAACTTTTAGGAAACAGTGGGCTCACCTAACTGGTGCCAGAAACTCACGAGATGCCGGCAAGTATGGAAGGGAAGCACTCTCAGAGAATTTGAGAAAACTGCTTTTACAATCCTAGTGGGCTTAAAGAGAAGTACAAGTGTTTCAGTAATGTAACAGAAACTTAAGAGATGAAGGACTTTTTAAAAAGCAACAAAGTTTTTAAGTCAGTATTGTTCAATATATTGTCCAAGATGGTGGGAGAGAGTCACTGCAATCCCTATGAGAATGTCAGTGACTCCCCCCCTTTATTTGTACAATATCAGAGAAAACAATCCTACAATACATATGTGCACACACAAAAGAATCCTGAGTAGCCAAAGGTGCTCTGTGCAAAAAGAATAAAGCAGGAGGTGCTGTGCTGTCGCGGAGCGGCGCCTGTGGATGTGTTCAGCAGGAGGCGCTGTGTTATCATGGAGCTGCGCCTGTGAATGTGTTCAGCAGGAGGCGCTGTGCTATCTTGGATGTGCGCCTGTGAATGTGTTCAGCAGGAGGCGCTGTGCTATCGCGGACGTGCGCCTGTGAAATGTGTTCAGCTCCTCTTAGGAACACATCAAAGCACAGCCAGGGGGACCCTACTCCAGGAAGAACGACATACGTTTTGACGAGGATGCACAGAAAAGGGAACTGCCATATTGTCCTGCCTTTTTTGTACACATTAAAAGAAATGAAGTCAGTGTATTGAAGAGCCATCTGGAGAGCTGGGTGTGGTTGTGTAAGCCTGTAATTATAACACTTGAGTGACTGAGGCAGGAGGATCATGAGCTTGAACTCAGCCTAGGCAAGACTGTGGGACTGTCTTCAATAAAAGCCAGAGATGTCTGTAATCCCATAATCAATCCAGTACTGGTCACAGTAGCCAAGGAACAGTACCATTTCTATCTGCTGGTGAATGAATAAAGAAAATAGGCATACACACAGCCTACACACAGCAGAAGACTATGCAACCATGAAAAACTGGAATTCTCCCATTTCCAGAACCATGAACAGAGATAACATTAAGGGAAACAAGTCAGGCTCAGAGATCAGTGTCTTGTGATCTCATTAGTAGAATCTAAAATACCTTGATCTCAAAAATGTTGAGATTAGAACGATGATTATCAGGGCCTGGGAGAGTGGGGCTGGCAGATGAAGGAAGCAGTGGAGGAAGAATGCTGAATGACCCAGCTGCAGGCAGATGTGAGCGAGACGTCCCAGCTGTAGAGAGGTCACAGGATCAAAGACGGAGGAAGTGTCAGCAGGATGGCTCAGCAGGTGATGTGGCCGGGCCCCACACCTGCCGGCCTGAGTTCAGTCCCTGGGAGAGAACTTTCTGCGTCCTATGTCCTTTGACCTCCACATATGAGCTGAGGCACACATGCACACAGCATAAGTGAATAAACATGTAACAAAATAATTTTAAAACACTAGAAGGCTTTTGTAAGTTACAACCATAAAGGAGTGGCAGATGTTCGAGGGTATCCATTTAATTGGACCTAAACATTACCCAGTATGTACTGAGCTAAACATTACATAGTGTCTCATTAATATGTATACTTTTTATTTGTATGCATCACTTAAAATAATTGTAAAAAAAAGGAACACAAGACAAAAATAGTGCCATTGTTTAACATAATTGCAACAATTGTTGAGTATCTCCTAGTGTTAATTATAGTCAGACATAATTATTCTATTTCTGAGCTTCCCTAATTGTCTCAAAAATGTCTTCTTATTTAATGTTCTGTTCAAGTCAGAATTCAGAGTCCTCTATTGTCCTTGGCTGCATGGATCTAATTCTTCTGTAATTGACAGCAGTTCTCTTGTCTTGTTTCTATTAAGGGGATCATAAAGTGTCTTGTAAACTCCATTCTCATTCTTTGTTCTAGTCATTTTTGTTGCTAGGTTTTCTATATTCACTGTAGAAATTTGATGTCATTAAGGTTCTTTCCCCACTTATTTTTTTAAAAAACTATAAAACCTTTAAAATTGATTCTGTATGTATAGGTGTTTTGCCTACATGCATAGCTGGGTACCTTGTGTGTGCAGTTCCCAAGGAGGCCAGAAGAGGGCACAGAGTCCCCTGGAAGTGGAGGTACTGATGGTTGTGAAATTCTGTGTAGGTGCTGGAAATCAAGCCCAGGTCCTCTGCAGAATCGCACGGTGCTGCTGACTGCGGCGCCATCTCTCTAATCCTCCCGGCTGGTCTGGTTGACTGACCTTTAATGAATGCATCAGAAGTCACTAATCGCTAGTGATCAGAATTACTGCTCACAACTGACAACTTAAATTTGAATGATTAAATGTCCTGTAGGCAAAAGCATAATTATAGACCAGCTGTGTTTTACACTGCA